CAAAAAAAATAAAATGAAATAAATAAAATCCTCAAACACGCCAAGTGCGGGTTATTTGAAAAATGAATATTGTTTAAATTAAAATCTGGATGGTTACAACAAACTCCAAGTGACCCAAGAAACAATTTTTTTTGCAATAGAACGAATCTCGTTATAACGAATCATCCATTACAACGAAATCTTGCCCATGTCCCTGTCCAAAAGCCACGATGTTAAATGAAACACTTTAAAACCAATTTTTCATTATAACGAAGCTATTTCGCTGGTCCCATCAATGGTTTTGTTGTAATGAAATTTTACTGTAGTGAGATCCTTAGTTCTTTGACCATATGTAGGTCTGACATTTTATGGGAAACAGGTGATGAATACTTTTTGTTCCACTTTCAACAAAAAAATTGAACGGTCAAATGAAGATTTCCTAAAACCTTCCCTCTCTCAAGAAGTATTTCTTTGAGAATTTTCCAAAAATATCTCACTAAAGTATGAGAGGAAACATACAGAATATGCATGTGCAAGAAGAACATTTATTCATTAATAACTGTATGTTTCACTTTCAAGTAATTTTTTTAAATAGCCAATTATAAATTCAAAAATAAAAGGAAATACATTTTGGTCAGAGGGTCAAAATGTGTGCAATGCTACAGTTGATTAGCTGTTATATTTTTGAAGATTTTTAAATTATACACAAATTCGGTTTTCCCATACTTAATTGGGCCAGAAATTAAAAATACTTATTTCCCATGCACATAAAATCAAGGCGGAAATTCTTTATACTGAGATTATAGAGGGACATTAGTTTGTTATAACGAAATTTCCATTTATTGTCCCTATGAAGAAAATTTTCGTTGGATGGAACATTTCCTAGTAAAGGAATTTTGCTGTAAAAGAAGTTGCAGTCCAACGTTGCAAAAAATTGCAGAAAGTCCGTAAAATCTTTCCGAATACATCTATGGGGTTCACCTATCAATTATTCAAGTCTATGAAAAAGTTACTGGTCGAAAAATCAATCGGAAAACGGCGCAATTTTTGTTTTTTTTTGGGCAAAAAGTCCTAGGGTAATATTTTATTCATAGATAATGGAAAAGAAAATTGATTCGCGTAAAGATTTTCCGACCGACTCAAACCAAAGCTTAATCTCGAAATCGATTTCATGTCCGGATTTGGGCTCAGATCTAAAAAAAAAATTAATGACTAACATTTGCTACCCTGGAATTTCCTCATTTCTAAAAAAAAACAAAATATTTCTGAAAAACAATCCTCGTTTCGAACCGAGTAGAAATTCCGAGTCTATCTGACACAGATTCAAGCGTAATTTTCAGTTTGGAATCCCATTAAAAAAAATAAAAGACCCGAAATAATTTGACCGTGATTC